ACCCACAATTATGAAATACAATATTTAAAAAGCAAAACTGCAACTATTTGTTTTTTTTAAAAAATAAAATGCTATCTGACATTAGACAGGATCTGCAGTAAAAGTCAGCCCAGAAGGAAGACCCTTACCAGGGGACTTATGATGTTGGACATTGGAATGCAGAGGGAAGAACCTGCAATGGGGAGGGAGCTCCCACCAAGCAGACCCCTGCAAATACTCCAGCTCTGAATCCTCGAGCTCATTGGAAGAGGAAGTAGTCACAGAATGCAGCCACAAGCCCAGGTGGTCAATGGGTGTTGGGAAGAAAGAGGACTGGGAGAAGAAAGCCAGGAAGGTGATGCTCAGACAAGGCAGTCATCAACCAGGTTGGAAAGCTGAGATGGAGAGATCTTTCTGCCTTAGCAAAGATGAGGAGGATGGTCACTCATTCCAGCTGAATGCTGGAACAGGCAATCAACATGATAAAAATAGCGCTCGATTCCATGAGAAGAGAGAAAGCCGACCCATGCCGGGGCACCATTAGCCTAGGCTCTGCAGAAGGGACAGATGAAGGAGGGACTTAGCCAGGGCCTTCCGAAAGCAATATCAAGACAGCAACTGTCGTCGCTGCCACCCCTCGCCGAACAGCAACCATGGACAGAGATGGGAGATGACACAAGCAGAAGAAGAGGCATCCATCCATCCAGAAGTTCCCGCGACTGGAAGTCAAATACCAGGGGGATCAATAATGCTTGGGATTTTTCCTGACCCAAGTGCTGAACTACATGAAGGAATATGGCCGCAACATTCCAAGTGACTGAGCCAGTGTTCGCATTGTGCAAGCAGCCCTAGATGGCACCGTGGCAGACTGAGTCATGGACCTACATAACACAGATGCCCCAGAGCTGCAAAACTTCAATCAATTCATGGCAGCACTTAGGCATCAATCTGAAGACCACCTAACTGACCGGAAAGAACAGGAACTAATAAAGACAGTGAAAGAAGGTAGGCTACCCGTAGCGGAATATACCCAGGATTTCAAAGCTCTGGCCAGCAAACTGAATTGGCTGGAAGACATCCTGATCAGCCATTTCAAGGACAGGTTAAACTATCATCTCTACGAGGCTTGCATCCCCTGGGGAGACCCCTACTTGCTGCAGGACTGGTACACCCTGGCCGAGGAGGCAGAGATTGACCTAGCAAAGAGGCAATGATGAGGGGAGAGATCATGGGGAAGATCGCCATCAGAGCCAACTTGCGAGTTATTGAAGCAAGCACCAGCAACCAAAAGAACTTCAGGATGTGGGAAAGAGGGACAACACATAGCTGAGTGCTGCTCATTCACCCCTGCTTTGGCCCAATGAAGAAAGGAAACTCTGACCAATCCAAGAGGAAAATCCAACTCGTCGGACAACAACTCAGAGAATGAACCCATTGCACCCCTCACCCAGCCTGTAGAATTATTAACCCCCAGCATGCCTGAGAAAGTGAAAATCAGAGCATTAATTGACTCTGGCTGCATCCGCTGTCTCATAAGCCCAACATTAGTAGGGAATTTAGGAATTCCAGTGAGGAGGCTGAAGAAACCAATTTCTTTTGGTCAATTAGATGGGTCCATAGCAGGAGGGATGCCCACTACACTAGCCACACTGCCAGTTCAACTCATCATAGGGGACTACATAGAGATTATAACATTTGTGGTGACCCCTGGCATGGAATGCCCCTTATCCTGGGCATGGCATGGCTGGCCAAGTGGAACCTGCAGGTGGACTGGAGAATGGTAGAACTCAGATTCCCAAAAGGGAAATCAGCCAAGGGACCAGACCAGCAGAGAAATGGTGGAACCCCAGCAGATATACTGGAGGAATATAAAGACCTGGCTGAAGTAATCAGCAAGGAAAGATCCAATGAACTTCCCCCTCATCAAGCCATGGACTGTTCTATAGAAATCTGTCCAGGTACAAAACTCCCCAAGCCCAAATTGTATTCCATGAGCCCACAAGAATTGGAGGAGATGCAGAAATTCATAACCAAAAATTTAAAAAGGGATTTCATACAGTCGGCAAAGCCAAAAACAGCTGCCCCTATGCTGTTCCAAGAAAATAAAGATATGACTCTTCGCCTCTGTGTGGACTATAGAGCTCTGAATGTAGTGAGGGAAAGCAATCTCCCATGAAAGACATGCTGTCCCACCTATCAAAAGGGAAAATCTTCTCAAAGCTAGATTTGAGACAAGCCTATTACTGGATCAGAATAAAACAGGACAAATGAAAGACAGCTTTCAATTGCCCTTTAGGATGTTACCAGTTTTGGGTTCTACCTTTTGGGTTACAAGGAGCATCCACAGTATTTATGCAACTGATAAATACTACAGGAGAACCTGTACAAAGGGATGCTTGTTTACCTAGATGACATCTGGTTATTCACTGAGACCATGAAAGAACAGGTGAAGCTGGTCACAGCAGTCCTAAAAAAACTCCAAGCAGCTCAGTTTTATGCCAAGCTTTCTAAATGCAAATTCCATAAGGAGAGAATTGATTATCTGGGATATCGCATATCACCAAATGGCATAGAGATGGACCCTGAGAAGGTCTGAGCAATACTTAAATGGGCTCCACCAGAAAGCAGTTGCAGAGTTTCCTTGGTTTTGCTAACTTCATCTCTTCCTTTGCCCAAATTGCATTACCAGTTACGAATTTACTGAAAACCAGAGATGAGGGGAAGCTCAGCCAAGCCAAACATTAAATTGGACAGTAGAATGCCAAGCCCCATTCAAAAGACTTAAAAGACTTTTTTTCCACAGAACCGGTTTTGAGGCACCCCAACACTGACAAACCTTTTGTGATTCAGGCTGATGCTAGTGATGTAGTTGTGTTAGGCTGTACTTTTGCAGGAAAATGATGAAGGGACATCACAACACTGTGTATACACATCAAGAAAGCTCACGGAGACAGAACACTCTCTTTCAAATAGCAACAGGACAGAATTTTAACCCAATGTCTGAATTCTCATCAGCCAAGCCTGCAATCCCTTCTCTGAAGGAGTGGATCACACAACTCAAGAACACCTGGCCAGTAGTCAGAAAAGCTCTAGATGAAGCTAGGCAAGCATATAAAACACAAGCTGATAAAAAGAGAGTTGAGCCAAAATCCTTTAGTGTGGGGAGAAGGTTTACCTGTCCACCAAATACCTAAAATCCCTTCCCTCCAAGAAACTAGGACCCAAATATGTAGGACCATTCCCTATTACAAGAATCATAAACCCTGTCACAGTAGAATTAGAACTCCCAAAATCCTTCAGACAGATTCATCTAATTTTCCTCTGCAGCCTTCTAAAATGCGAGCAACAGTCACCATTAAGACCAGCTGTTGCTCCTCCCCCTCCTCCCATTATGGTGGAAGGGGAACAGCATTTTGAAATTAAGGAAATACTAGACTCCAGGAAACACCATGGCTCCACCCAATACCTAAGAGCATGGAAGCATCTTCCACCCTATCAAAATGAGTGAGTTCAAAAATGCCATGTTAATACCCCTAAGCTCCTTAGAAAATTTCACACAACATACCCTAACAAACCAGACTAATCCATATCTTTTATTTGTCTCTGTTTTCCCACAGGTGGATCTCTCTTTCTTTTAAGGGAGGCAGGATGTCAGAACCCATATTATTAAGGGGACTCCTTCTAATTCTATTTCTTCTATTACTCTGGGTTTTGTCTTACTCCTGGAGTGGAGTGCATAAGACACTGTGGGCTGTCTCTTAGTCTTCTCTTTATTACTACAATGTATCCCTTTTGCTGTCTCTGCATACTTGCTCTTGGAACTGTCTCTCCTTCATGTCACCTTGGGAGGAGAAAGGAATGTGCCTCCAGCCATCTGGCTCATCTCCCATTTCTGAAGGGAAGGTGCAAAGCCCCAACAACACGAGTGGGGAAAGACCAGTGTTATCAGCTCTTTCCCACAGTGGGCTTAACACCTGGCCCATTTGAAATGATCGGATGAACTATTGGGGTGGGGTTTGTTCGGGACTCATTTAACCTATTGATCTGAATGGGAAACCCTCAACTCCTATTATGCCTGCTATTTGCTTCTCCTAATAAAAATTCCTTTTGGAAGAAACTGCTTGCACGAATTCTGCTTTCTTAGGATGAGGTATTGAAGTGAGCCCTGACAATGCCATAATAATGATGAATTGTTGTAAGTCACCATGAACAATACAATTGAAATTTATAGTATAGAAAAGCAAGTTCTAGTTTTTTAGAGGAATATGTCTGTCTATCCATCAAATTTATTTGTCAACTTTATTTGGCTTATAACCGCAAAAAAGTGACACAAACATCTGACAATTATAAATATAGAAACAGATTATAATGAGAGAAATGAAAATTAGCTAAAAAACCAAGTGGTTGCAGGGGAGAGGTAAGGGTATCTTATCTTTTAGTGTACCAATCACCTCCAGCCAATAGCTTCTCCTTGCCAGCCCCCACAACTAGATTTTAAGGCTTTTCTAAAGGCTAAAAGAAAGATGGGAGATCTTATCTCATGTGTTAAGATGTTCTAAAGCAGGGGTGTCAAACTCACAATGTCACATGACATGTTGTAACATATCACGACATTTTTCCATTGCCAGCAATGGGGTGGGTGAGGTTTCGCCATGACGCATCTAGTCTGTGGGCCTGCAGTTTGTAACCCCTGTTTTAAAGGGTGGGAGCTGTGACAGAAAGGTTCTTCTGATGAGTCTCACCACCTGAAATTCCTTGGCTAATGGGTTAGCAATAGGCCCCTTCTACCAGTAGAAGTGGGGCAGCCCAATCTCATTGAGAAAGGGTGGCTCCACAGATATTATATCAAATATTTTCTTCCATCATAATAAATAATTCATAAGAAATCCAGCTGAAGCAACAACTTGGAGACATTATTGGTTGCATAATAGTACATATTCTTATTTGATCAAGGTTGAATTAATGATTTTATCCATCTAGCTAAAAAGTAAATTTGCTATAAATTTTCCAAAGTATCCCACCTGGTTAAACCAACTGTGCCAGGTTATGACATCTTCATTTATGGTGAATATTTGGTCTGAAAAAATTGCAGGGTTTACCCTCCCAACTTTAACTCTAATGAAGGATTCGTTAGAAGAAACAATCCAGTTCAGTATATCATATCCAGCTAGTAATTCTCCATTGTAGTCAATAGAAACCAGATCCCCAGCACTGTTATTAAATGAGAGACCTTTCAAAAAGGAGTGCATCTAGATGGAAAAGAAAAAATAAAGATTAGCAAATGGTGTTTAATTTTGGGGGGGAAAGTCTAAGAAAAAATTGGTGCAGTGGAAGTTGTAGAAGAATAGAACAGAACAGAACAGAATAGAATAGAATAGAATACTTTATCTATGTAGTTAAATATACCTAGATATAAGATAGTAAAGTGTATTTTAGGTGTTCAGCAGATTGTTATTGTGAGGGAAAACACTGTTTCTGTATCTAGTTGTTTTAGCCTGCAATGCCCTGTAGCTGCATCCTGAGGAGAAGAGTTGAGTTCCTATAATTTAAATTATGGGGCTCATTTTCCTTTATACAAATAATGTTTTTCTTCTAGATGATGCTCAGTCCATTACCTGCCATGAATCTTGATTTTGAAGCTTCAGCCTCCCTTTATTTGCCACTGACCGCTGGGCAGATCTGGATGAAATCATGGCATGCAATGCATGGGCTACTGCATAGACAGAGTTATAAATACTGTAACTGTGACCAGTCATTCTTTTTTCAAAAAAAGTTACAGGAAGATCTTCCAGTTTCTCTTTTCCTGTGCAAAGATCACCAGCTCCCTCACCTACATTTGACATTTTAAATGCACAAACAAAGGATTGCTGCCAAAAATCCTTGATAAATCCATCTTCTGTCATAGAAGGATTTCTACTTTCAGTAAATGACTGGAATCCTGGTGGGTCATTAGCATGAATCGTGAAGGACAGAGCACCATTCATTATGTCTGTATCCCAATCTCTCTGATATACATGTGAGTTGAGCTCCATTTGTGCTGTAAATATCCACACTCTACCTTTGACAATATCTATTATGTTTTTTCTTGATAAATATGCTATCCATCTCAGTCTTACCATAGTATAAGATTCTCCATAAAATATCAGAACATTAGCATTGCTATCCATAACTTTATCATGTATTTCTGCACCACGGTTGAACAAGTCATAAATATCATGAACAGTTGTTACTTCACCGATTCTCTCTCTATATGAAAAACAGATGTTATGCTGGGACAATAATGGAACAATCATTTCTATAACCCTTTCTCCATTGTCATTGGCTATTACAACTATCCCAATCCATGTCCAACCGAAATGGAGAAGCAAAGACAGAATCCCTTCATATTGAAGTCTTTCCAGTGGGCTCATCTGGAAGAAAAAAAGGGCTGGTGTTTTATAATTCATAATGGGACTAGAGCCATAGATAAGCTGCATAAGGATGGAGAACAAAGGAAAGGGATAGAAAGTCAATTTAATTGTTATTTTCAAGCTTTTTAAAAACATGTCATACATTTGTACAGCAATACAAGAAATTCTAATGTGAATGAGCAAAACATAGCATTGCTGAAGTTAGAATGAAAGGACAAAAAAGAGAGATAAAGCCAGGTCTACTGCTAGAGAGGATGAAATATGGCATCATTCAGAGAAATTTTTTATGGTCCCTCTGAAGGGATTATGTACACCCAAGCTAATCTCTTCATTCAATAATAATAATAATAATAATAATAATAATAATAATAATAATAATAATGATGATGATGATGATGATGATGATGATGATCCCCAGTGAGGCACTACCTTGACGTGGTTGTGGGGAGAGGTTAATATCAAGAGAGGAATATTTCAAGGAGATTCATTATCACCATTACTATTTGTTATTGCACTGTTTCCTCTGTCAACAATACTGAATAACTCAGGACATGGTTATCAAACATCAAAAACATCTGCTAGACTATCCCACCTCCTTTCCATGGATGATCTGAAGCTGTATGGAAAAACATCATCTGAAATAGAATCGCTGCTCAACACTGTCCGTATATATAGCCAAGATATTGTAATGGAGTTTGGCTTGGACAAATGTGCCACACTTACTATCAAAAAAGGAAAAATAATGAAAACTGAAGGAATCAAGATGCCCCACGAAAATAACATTAAGAGTCTGGATGAGGAAGAATACTACAAATACTTGGGTATCCTTCAAGCTGACCACATCAAGCACACTGAAGTCAAGAAAAAGATTAGAGGTGAATACATCAAGAGAGTGAAGAAGATCTTAAAGTCCAAACTCAATGGAAGAAATACCATAAAGGCAATCAACACTTGGGCAATTCCAGTCATTAGGTACACAGCTGGAATAGTGGACTGGACTCAAGCAGAACTAAAAGCAATGGATAGGAAGACCAGAAAAATAATGACAATGAATCATGTCCTTCATCCACACAGTGACATTGACAGACTTTATCTACCAAGGCAAATAGGGGGGCATGGAATGCTACAAGTACATCAGATGGTTGAAGAAGAAAAAATGGCTTTGGAAGAATATCTGAAGAACAATGATGAAGATGCACTGAAATTAGTATATCAAGAAGGCTTACTGACTACTGGAGAGACCAAACTGGCCTATAAGAAACACCAAATGAAGAACAGAATAGAGGCATGGAAAGACAAAGCACTACATGGCCAATACATTAAAAAAATAGCTGGGAAAGCAGATAATAACAAGACCTGGCAATGGCTAAGAACAGGAAAATTGAAGAAAGAGACCGAGGGACTAATTCTGGCTGCACAAGACCAAGCCTTAAGGACAAATGCATATAAAGTCAAAATTGAGAAGACAGCAACAGACAGTAAGTGCCGCCTATGCAAAGAAGATGAAGAAACAGTGGACCACCTGGTAAACTGTTGCAAGAAGATTGCACAGACTGACTATAAGCAGCGGCATGACAAAGTAGCAACAATGGTGCATTGGAAGATCTGCAAAAAATATCATTTGCCTATAAGCAAAAACTGGTGGGATCATAAAATAGAGAAAGTCATAGAAAATGATAAAATTAAACTGCTCTGGGACTTCAGAATTCAAACAGACAAACACCTGCAACATAACACCCCAGACTTAACAATTGTCGATAAGAAAGACAAAAAAGTCTGGATAGTGGAAGTGGCAGTGCCTGGAGATAGCAGAATAGACGAGAAAGAACTGGAGAAGATAACAAAATACAAAGACCTACAAATAGAAATAGAAAGACTGTGGCAAAAGCAAGCAAGGGTAGCACCAATAATAATAGGCTCCTTAGGTGCAATCCCAAAACAACTGGAGCACCACTTGAACACCATTGGCATTGACAAATTCGCTATTAGTCAATTGCAAAAGGGGGCCTTACTAGGAACTGCTTCCATCCTGCAACAATATCTGTACTACCATCAAACATCCACATCTGCCTATCCCAGGTTCTGGGTAAGGACTCGATAGGTAGACAAAATGCCAAATCCAGTCTGAACATCTGGCTGACTGTGCGATTATCCATAACAACAACAACAAGAACAACAACAACAACAACAACAACAACAACATAATAATAATAATAATAATAATAATAATAATAATAATAATAATAATAATAATAATAATAAACTTGAAAGGGACCTTGGAGGTCATCTAGTCCAACCCCCTGTTCAGGCAGGAAACCCTATACCATTTCAGACAAATGGCTGTCCAGTCTCTTCTTAAAAACTTCCAGTGTTGGAGCATTCACTGCTTCTGGTTCTTCCACTGGTTAATTGTTCTAACTGTCAGGAAGTTTCTCCTTAGTTCTAGGTTGCTTCTCTCCTTGATTAGTTTCCACCCATTGCTTCTTATCCTGCCTTCAGGTGCTTTGGAAAATAGCTTGACTCCCTCTTTTTTGTGGCAGCTCCTGAGATATTGGAACACTACTATCATGTCCCCCCTCTTCCTTCTCTTCATTAAACTAGATATACACAATTCCAGCAGCCTTTCCTTATATGCTTTAGCCTCCAGCCCCCTATTCATCTTTGACACTCCCCTCTGTACTCTTTCTAGAATCTCAACATCTTTTTTACATTGCGGTGACCAAAACTGGATGCAGTATTCCAAGTGTGGCCTTACCAAGGCATTGTAAAGTGGTATTAACACTTCACGTGATCTTGATTCTATCCCTCTGTTAATGCAGCCTAGCACTGTGTTGGCCTTTTTGGCAGCTGCAGCACACTGCTGGCTCATATTTAGGTGATTGTCCACTAGGACTCCGAGGTCCCTCTCACAGTTACTACTATTGACTAAGGTACCCCCTAGACTATTGAGTAAGGTACCCCCTAGACTTACCTTGAGTAAGGTACCCCCTGTGCATTTGATTTTTCTTGCCTAAATGTAGAGCCTTGCTTTTTTCACCACTGAATTTTATTTTGTTAGATTGTGCCCAGTGTTCAAGTCTGTCCAGATCCTTCTGTATCTTAAGCCTGTCTTCTGGAGTGTTGGCTATTCCTGCCAGCAGGTTTCGTTTGCAAATTTGATGAGTTCCCTATCTATCCCCTCATCCTAATCATTGATGAAGATGTTGAAGAGCACTGGGCCTAGAACAGAGCCCTGGGGCACCCCACTACACACTTCCCTCCATGTAGATGCAGTTCCATTGAGGACCACATGCTGAGTACCGCCAGTCAGCCAGCTACGGATCCATCTTGTGGTGATGCTGTCTACCCCACATTTTTCTATCTTGTCAAGTAGTAGGTTGTGATTTACTTATCAAATGCCTTACTGAAGTCCAAGTAAATTATATCCACAGCATTCCTCTGATCCACTAATTTTGTCACTTGGTCAAAGAATGCAATAAGATTTGTCTGACAAGATCTATTTTTGACAAACCCATATTGGCTTTTAGTAATGACTTTGTTTGCCTCTAGGTGTTCGTTGATTCGTTGTTTGATTATCTTTTCCAGGATCTTCCCAGGTATTGAGGTCAGGCTGATAGGTCTGTAATTTCCTGGGTCCATTTTTTTTTCCTTTTTTGAAGATGGGAACTACATCAGCTCTTTTCCAATCCTCTGATAGTTCCCCAGTGCAATCTGAGCAATTTTAAATGCACTGCAGTATTATCAATTGAATGAATGAATGGATGAATGAATAAATGAATGGTATTTTATTACAAGTAGCTATGTCTCTTACATTTAGTCTTTAATATTAATAGTAATTGTTATTAATATTTGCTTAATTTATTAATATTTGCTTAATATTTAATAAGCAAATCTTCCTTCCCTATCTGCATCTAACTAATCTTCACTTACTTGTAAATAAGATAGATGAACTGCTATTGTTAAATAGAGACAGTTCAGAATTTTTAACTTGGCAGCCCTCTATTTAATTGAAACCTGACTGAAGTACTCGATTAATGATAATTGTTTGCAAATCCCAGGATTTCGGATTCAAAGAGCAGATAGAATTGCAGAAATGTGCAATAAAAAGAAGGGATGGTGGGGTCTCTGCTTTTATATCAACAACTGATGACGTAAAAATGTAACTACCCTAAAGAAATTTTGTGATGTGGACTTAGAAACATTATCTATCAATTGCAAACTGTTTTATTGTCCATTAAATTTTCCTGGTTTATTCTAGCTGCTATGTACATTCCACTATAAGCTTGCATAAACAATGCATTACAAACACTAGCTGGCCAGATCCTGTGGGATCAACAAAAATATCCAGAGTCATTTCTCATTGTATTAAGAGATTTCAACAGTGCTAACTTAAGCCAAGAGCTACCAGACTACATCCAGCATGCCAACTGTCTTACTAGAGACAAGAATATTTTAGACCATTGTTATACTAAAAAGATGCTTATCAGTCTTTACCATGAGCAGCTGTGGGACACTCTGATCACTGTACAATTCACCTTGTACCTATTTATAGACAAAGGCTTAAAACCATAATACCAGCAATTAAATCAGTAAAGTCTTGGACTGAGGAGGCAAAGTTAAAGCTACAGGTTTGCCTTGACTGCACAGATTGGAACATGTTTAAAACTACTTCTGCAGACTTGGATGAAGTCACAGATACTGTGACATCATATGTTAGTTTTTGTGGAGACCTATGTGTGCTATCACACATAGCACACATAGTTTTTGTGGAGACCTATTAGAAGCTTGTGAATACACAGCAACAATAAACCTTGGTTCACAGCTAAACTTAAACAGCTACAACATGCCAAAGAGGAAGCTTACAGAAAAGGAGATAGAATGCTGTACAATCACATCAGGAATGTATTAACAAGGAACATCAGAGCAGCAAAAAGAAGCTACTCTGAAAAGCTGAAAATCAGTTTTCAACAAATGAACCAGCAAATGTGTGGAAAACCCTTAAAGATATCAATGGCTACAGGAGGAGCAAACCTCCTTTCCAGGCTGAAGAGAATCAACAATTGGCAGATGACCTGAATGAGTTCTACTGTAGGTTTGAGAGGAAACCACTGTCAACTATAGCCACCCTCTCCATCTCAGATACACAAATAACAGCCAAGTCTCCTACAACTGACCCCATCCCTCTAGGCACCCCACTTCTGGTGATCACAGAAAAATATGTGTGAGGTCTATTTCACAGACAAAAGCCTGGAAAAGTGCCAGGCCAGACACTTGAAAGCTTGTACTGACCAACTGGTCCCCATCTTCACCCACATATTTAACAAATCGTTAGAAATGTGTTATGTTCCTTCTTGCTTCAAATGCTCTACTATAATCCCAGTGCCTAGCATACTCTCCATCAAGGAGCTGAATGACTACAGACTGGTTGCTCTGACATCCATAGTTATGAAAACATTTGAAAGGCTAGTGCTGGCCCACCCGAAAACCATCACAGATCCCTGTTACACACCTTACAATTTGCCTACAGAGCAAATAGATGAGCAGATGATGCTGTTAATATGGCACTGTACTACATCTTATAACATCTTGAATCTACAAGGACCTATGTTATTTTTGCAGACTTCAGCTTGGCATTCAATACCATCATTTCAGATATTCTTCTCACTAATTGACTCAGCTAGCTGTGCCTGATCACATTTGCAATTGGATCATAAGGTTTCTAACAGATAAGAAGCAGCAAGTGAAGATAGGCAAAATCACATAAAAAACCTGCACAATTAGCACAGGTTCCCCCAGGGCTGTGTGCTGTCTCCATTATTCTTTCTCTCTATATCAAGGACTGTATCTCAAAGGATCCCCTGTTAAAGTACTGAAGATTACAGATGATACTACAGTGATTGGTCTCATTCAAGACAATGATGAATCTGCATACAGATGGGAAGTTGAACAACTGGCCCTGTGGTGAAGCTGGAACAATCTTGAACTGAACACACTCAAAACTGTAGAGATATTAGATTTTAGGAGAAGCCCTCCTATTCTACCAGCTTTTACAATACTAGACAACACAGTATCAAGAATAGAGACCTCCAAATTTTTAGGTTCTCTAATATCTCAGGATTTAAAATGGACACCTAACATAAACATCATCAAAAAAGCAGAACAAAGAATGTTCTTCCTGCACCAACTCAGAAATGTCAGAATTGCCCAAGGAGATGCTTGTACAGTTTTACAAAGGAATTCTTGAGTCTGTCATTTCTATATTTGTATATCATTTGTATATTTTTATAAATGTCAGGTTTGGCACAGCAACCAAACTAAACAGACACAGATTTCAACAGATAACACTGGTCTACAAATTTTGGGAAATTATCAACCTCCAAGATAAAATGTGTTAATTCTTACATATTTTGATTAGATGAATTAGAAAACAGGTGGTAAAGGTGCTGGTTGGCTAAAGTTTTCAAGATATTTCACAGTAAAGATTTATACACAGGCAAGCATATTTGTCTACGAGGGAGAGAGGTGTCTAATGATCATGATGCCTTGTAACTTCTTGACAAAGTACCATAGAACAATGAAAACGGTACCACATGGAAGTGTAGAAATTTATCTTCACTTTGAGACTAAAGATTATTATGTAACTATAATTTATTGTCTTTTATTGCAAGGCACATTTGTCTTGGTCAGATCTATGCATCATATAGTTACATCTGGTGGCTTGTGAAAGTGTCATTGCCTAACATTTCCAAGATATTTTCCCTCAGAAACCAAGGTGCCTCAAAACTGTGTAAACGATGCAAGTATCTTCTGCTACAGTTGTGGTGAGGTTAGATTGGCATCTCAAAAGTGCAGTATGGTGGCAGCGGTAAAAAAAGGCATACCATTTATATCTTGGATGCAAAATAGGGGATCAGGACAAGAATTGGGCCCCTCATTATTGTTGTATTACATGTGCAACTTATCTGCATCATTGGCTAAACAAGAAGAAAAAGTCCATGCCTTTCACAGTCCCACTGGTGTGGTGGGAACCCACCAATCATAGTAGCAACTGCTATTTTTGCATGGTTCACCCAACTGCAAAATGGATCTCAAGAAAGAAGTGGATCATGGAATATCCAAAATTTCATCCACATTGTGTCATGTACCCCATGGTGAGGATTTGCCAATTCCAGATCCACCATAATCCTACTCTCTAGACCAGGGGTATCAAACTCCCAACCTGTGGGCTGTATTAATCACAGTGAAACCATGCCCATCGCATTGCCGGCAATGGAAAAAAGTTGTGATACATCATGACATGTCATGTGACATTGCAAGTTTGACATCCCTGCTCTAGACTCAGATGATGATAAAGATGATTAGCAGGATGCAGCTGATCCAGAGCCATCTATGTCAGAGGACCCAAACTTTAGCCCACTGTATTCTCCTACTGAACCACATCTAATTTCACAGAGTGAACTAAATGAACTGGCAGGAATTTGGAATTGCCTAAGAGTAAGGCAATGGGCTCCAGATTACAACAGTGGAACATCTTGCAGAGTGGAAAAGCATGAAAATGTTAAATGAAAAACCAATAAATGAATGGAAAGCTATGTTATTGGTATCAACAAAAAGATACATTTATAATGACTGGTGTGGCACTATTCTCATTGTTATATCACAGAGCATAATTGCACATCCCCCTCGTAATTTTGAATTATTTTGATGCAATTTTGACCTGAAGCTGTATCTTGGAAACTGGAGCCAATTAATACCCAGGACTTAATCTTACTTTATTAGTGACTGGTAAAATTTAGTTACTTTAATTTCCGAGGCTTTCTCCTTGCAGAATAGTGTAATTAGGATTGCAGAGAAAAATAATTGGAACCAGCCTGTCTTCCATTGAGGACCTGTATACTGTACGAGCCAGAAAGAGGGATGTGAAAATATCTACAGATGCCTCACATCCTGGACATGTTTCAGCTTCTTCCCTCAAGATGACACTACAGGGCATTGCATGCCAAAACAACCAAATACAAAAACAGTTTTTCCCCCCATGCTATCACTCTGCTAAACAACTATTTTCCACAATACTGCCTATGTCCTAGGATGTCAAACCACCTATTAGGGTTGTATTATCTAATATCCTTCTCATCTTTTCTATTACCTATTTCCTTAGCTTCTTGTGTTTTAACTTTGTTGTTTATATCTCATGATTTATGCTGATTGCCTTTATTTAGTATCCTAATATGATTTATTTTGTTTGTTTATCCTATGGCCATCACTCAATTTGTATCTTATGATTTATGATGATTGTATTTTATGATTATGATCATGAGTGTCGGTTGTTGCTCGTATCTACATTAAGAGTTTATGCACCACAGACAAATTCCTTGTGTGTCCAATCACACTTGGCCAATAAAGAATTCTATAATATAAGTACTTCAGGAAATGTTAGATAGATTATATTCTGACTGTTGCATTTTTTGTAGGTCAGAAATACGAGATAGAGTTTTGTGTACAATTCAACAATTGAATGTTAAAGAGGCTCTTGATTCTGAAAAAAAAAAAAAAATTAAGTTCTTGGTCTTTGAAATGTTTTGGACAGTTTTTTCCCAGACTTCTTTTGATATTTCCATTTTCCATTATCCTTTTTTCTTTGCATTGTTGTAATATTTGTGTATTTATTATTTATAGTATATTGTCAATGGTTTATGTTGTATAGTTTTTACATAAGACTTCAAGAATAATTTTGATTGTGGTTGCATAAAAATACATATAATCAATAAATAAAATATTCATTTTCTACAGGAGCTATAGTTGGTGTACACTGTTCTTGCGTCTTCATTCACCTTTTGTGTAACCTCTTTTGTATCTAATCTGTGAACTCATCTCTGAATAATATTGTGAGCAAAGTTTATGTAACTATATCTTTGTGAAATTAATTATACTAGAAGATTTTTTGTTATTTGGGTTACACAGTTCTAACATGACTGTGGAAACACTCAAGGCCATTTATTCAGAAAAAGAATTCATATTTTTCATTCATTCTAAAGTAGTTTCTTTTCTTAGGTTAAAATTCTTTGGCTCATCATTATCCTTCTTTTAAAAAAAAAGTAATAAAAAAGTAATGGGATGTTAACAGAAAAGAAGCACATAAGGTACAATGTTATTTAGAAAAATCCAAATTTCTGCCCCTAATTTACCAAATGAAATTGAGAAGTTCTAAAAAGTCAGGTATGCTCTGTTTCTTACCTGTGGGATCTTATAGATATCCAAGAGATTTGCAATGTGAATGGACGTTTTTGCATCTAGTCCCCCAATCACTGAAATCAGATGATTCTGGATACCACAGATATAGTTAGGAAAAAAGCTTTTCTTGTTGTAAATCAGTGACATTGTGGCATGGTATGTTTTCTGAGCATTGAAGTAACTGTCACAGATGTTGAAGCCAAGAGTGATATTGGATAAGATCTGTGGGTTTTTATTGATTTCATTGACTGCAAATGTCAGGGCCACAATATTTTGATAATATTTAGGAACTAATCTGAAATAGAAGATAAATTCAAAGTCAAATAAATATTTAAAAGATTTTTTTAAGAAAAAATAATAATTATTGTATCTCATGTTATAAGTCTCAGAATATTTATTCTTATTAGCATGTATATGAAACTAATATACATGCTAATAGTAAGGGTTTCATAAAACAGTTATTTCATATGATATAATACATGGAAACTTAGCAAATAGTATTTTGCATGTCTACTTATTTATGCAAACTATCAACTTTATTCCAAATATCTACATAATCCATTTGTATTTTTTCTCTTTTGAAAATTCTGTTGTATTTTATATGGTATAATCATAATTTATATTAATAACAGCTATTCACATCATTAAATGTATGAAGAAATGCCACATTTTACTACAAGTATCTCAATGATGCATAAATCAAGAGGAAGATAATCACGAAGAATGTGTAAAATTCTCAGAGAAGAATTAAACTTTGCTAGATCTATCTATATAAAACAGTAAAAATTTCAGTGAATTTTTCCGTTAATAGTCTGGCCCAGACTTATTAGATAACATTGGATAACTATCTGGGGAAAATAACAAAAAACTATACAATCTGCAATGCTTTAATACAATTTTAAACAGAGTAGACTAATTGAATTATGATCTATTCTATTAGCAGTTTGTACAGTTAGACAATGTAGAACTAAGCATAAAATCCTTACATAAGGTCTTCAAGCAATGGTGGTGGTGGGACTTTGCTGAAGTCTAGGGTAGCATGTAGGAAAACAGCGAGAGTGACAATGATGACCCACGATGACATCACCTGACTGATAGTACATATGAAATGGATCATGAGGACTTTGAACTCTACATTTGCTATTATGTGATTTAGTGAGTGAGAGATAAAATAAGGCTAGTGAGAAGGTGATTAAAGCTAACATTCTTGGAGAAAAGCCAGATTTTTCCCTGACATCTAAATTCTTCTTGCTTCTTTGATGACAACGATATTAGTATTCTGGTAACAAAACAGGCTGATATTGCAAACCTTAGAAAAGAGTAAGAAGCTTCCACAAAGTGTACTGTATAATGTAGTGCTTTTATTATACCTAACATAAAAAAGTTGAGACATTTATAATATTCTTTATGTTTTGTCCTTGGACACTGAAATTCTGTTTCTGGTTGAACATAAACAAATAAATTACCATCCTTTCAAAATTAAATAGTATCCAATTACTTTATGTATCTCAAGAGAATTGTAGGAAACATGTTTTGACTGATAGAAAAAATATTTCTATTTCATTTGAAATGAAGACATTTAATATGAAAAAGATTTTTTTTTTAAAAAAATACCCAAGACAATGTTCCCTCAAGCTTGTATTCTACAGAAAGGTTGGGTACTGCTTTTAGCTGTTCTGTTAAACATGCTGTATTAGAATGATGTAACTGTAACACTCCTGTCCTGCATGACCTTGAATGTGACTCTAAAATTTGGACAGTAGCATAGCTGATACACCACATGACTGAACTATGGATAGTCCTAAACTGATACTCTCGTCATCTTTGAATGGAGTTTTGTGTTGCTTTTAATACTTCCCAACTTTTTAATTGCATGGGGGTTATTTATTAATATGAAAGTTTTCTTTCTGTCATGTATTCTTAGATTTCTGGTCATACTGTAGTATCAATAAGCATAGAAGATTTTTTTAAAAGGAGATGAAATTATTGATAAAATGTAGGATTATTTAATATTGAAGTAATAGCATCTGAAATACATAAGCAAGGAACATCAGCAACATCTGGATAGTTGTCAATGAGAAAATGGAACTGATCCCTCAGAAAAGTTTATTTAAGATTTTGAGAAACCATCAGTCTTGGAATGGGAATTAATGTATTCTTAAGGGATGATGTAGATTTTCTAATTTGGATTATTGGGTTTTATGAGGTGAAAGATCTTGTTGATTAGATCAGTCTCTACTTTTAACAACTCTTCATCTCCCACATGAGCTGGTTGTTTCAGGATTGTAGATGGCTGGCAATACCATGTAAATTTTTTCTGGCAATTCTATGTAAATTATTTACAATTAGCTAAGTAGAAGACAAAAATAAGCCAATAAGACTGCTTTGCTGAGAGCTGAGAAATACAGTTTCACATACACATATAATAGAGATAGCACAAATTAGATACAAAATAAACACAAAAGCACAGCTCAGATCAGAGTATTTTCTTAAATTATTTCAAATATATTAATATATTTCATCTTCAACAATTACTTTACCATCACATTGCTTTAAGAAAGGAATTGCAGATTGCATCAACTGCCATTGCTCACCTTGTCAGACAATATATTAACCCACTAAATTCTGGCCAGTTTTGGAATTCCAGTTTTTAGGATTAAAGTGAATATGATTGATATTGGTCTACAAATATATATGTAATCCATTCAGCCATAAAAATCTGACATAATCAAAAATACTGAAAGAACGTTTGCAGATAAATCTGAATAGGAGAAAGTAAATGATTTTTCACACAATATTATTATTCCCATTAACTTAGTTTTGATAAAGATTTTTTAAATCATTTTAGTATATGTAGATACACAAACCACTGTAATTTCCAAAACTTTTGAACATTTTCGTTTGTGCAGGAACATTCACTTTGTGCTGCATTTTGCAAAACAAAATGAAGTTCCTATTCATGCACAATGAAACAAAGTAATGTGAAAGTATTTTCCAAAGCAACTATGCGATCCTAATGTTAGTAATAGTAGTAAAGTTGGAAGGGACCCTGGAGGTCATCTACTCCAACCCCCTGCTCGGGCAGGAAACCCTACATCATTTCGGACAAGTGGCTGTCCAGTCTCTTCCTAAAAACTTCCAGTGTTGGAGCATTTACTGCTTCTGGAGGCAGGCTGTTCCACTGATTAATTGTTCTCACTGTCAGATGTTAGAAGAGATGGCTTTCATATGTGTTGCTAAGTGTTGAAAGAGCCCTTTTGAACATTCTCTTAGTAGCCATACAACAACTGCTTCATCACAAAGAACAAGAAAATCATTTGTTCACATTGTAATTTCTTTCTCTTCATTATGTGTTCTCTGTTGTTAACATTGGGCTTCAAGACAATGACATAATGTTTTAGGAGAAAAATGCAACCATCAAACCAGCCCTAGAGTCTAGGATGGAAAACATCTCCACTGCCACCATGTATTTCTGGTCTATGGGAAAATTGGTTTTAATCTTTGTTTGTAATATAATATGACACATATAGAAAATATTGGGCTGCAGATGTAATGTTGATGTTTTACTGATTAAAATCTTATATATGAATCTATTTAAAAGACTGATAACTACCCATATTATGAACTATAACCCTGAGTGGTTCATAAAACAATAAAAACAGAAACAAACAAGCAAACAATTTAAACAACTATAATAAAAACTCCTGGTGCTTAGGGCAACACTTTCTCACACATCAGCTACAAAGTTGTTCTAGCCTCAGTCCACCCCAGTAGTTGTTAGAAGACCCAGATGTGGCATGTGGACTGCCTTTGCTTATGGGACTTGTCTGCTTTCTGCCCTGTGGACTAATGCTGGCTTCTCTTGAGTAGCTTGTTGAACTCATTGGAGCGGTGCTGATTTTGGAAAACAAATTGCTGGGGAATACTAATTCAGGCTTGGAAGCCTAAATAAAGACTTCTAGCACCTGTAATGTGTATGTGAGTTGAGTAGGACAGCACAAATATTGAATAAGAATTGGTTGCAATTTCTTGCTCTAAGAAAATATAGGTGAGAAAAACCAGTGGTTCTCAACCTGTGGGTCGGGACCCCATTTGGGATCGAACGACCATTTCACGGGGGTCGCCAAACAACGCAGTCTGCCATTTTCCCCCCCTTTTCCTTAGCTGTGCTACTCCCTTTTATTCTATTGGCTTTTCAAAGCCAATAGAATAGACTCTCTTGAATAGAGTCTAATTCTATTGGCTTTCAAAAGCCAATAGGAATTGTCCAGGCTATCTCTGCCCTGCTGATCCCACCAATAATCCCATTCTACAAACGGTGCTGCACCAGTTGAGTAGAACTCGACTTACGACCGGTTGAGTAGTCCTTGACTTACGACCGGTTGGGGGTCGCGGCATTAAAAAGGTTGAGAACCACTGGTCTAAACTTATCATTCCATTGCTATATATGGGGTAAAAGCCATATGATTGCTAATATAAATTGAGGATCATCATTAGTCAAGACAGCATATGTTCCTTTGCTTTAATGACAGGAATAAGAATTAATCAAAAACTTAAAAAACTTCTAGATGCTCATAAAAAAAATAATCCTCAGTGGAATAATAAATCTGAATTTGATGAAGAAAACAAATGGATTGCCAATATGTATTACTTATAAAAATTGTAATTTATTCTATTTCCCAGTAGAGAACCAGAAAAAGAAGAGTTTTCAGCAATGTGGTCAACAGTTTTAAAACTTCTTTGTTTTTATAATTTATATAATTGTTGAGAATTTCCATACCCATTTTTCTCTATATTTTTATAATAAATTCTTAATAGTATGGTATATATACAAAAAATTGTATCTCTTTAGTTTAATAAAGAAAAATTGATGAAGCAGGCTTATGACTATGGAGAAAGATGATATAGTTTTCCTAATTTCCTAATTATAAACTACACAAAGGACATTATGAATCAAAATCAGAATTGTTTACTCTTGATTAAATTTCCCCTATTGTTCAAATCAGGCCTTAAAACAATTATATAACATTTGGGGAAAAAGATGCAGCCCAGCAAAGCAGCACTAGAGGCCAAAATGGAAAATATCTCCACCGCCACCATGTACTTCCCCTTGGTGCTCAAATAGGTTGGAACAAAGGATATCCAAACACTACAAAATACCAACATGCTGAAGGTGATAAACTTGGCTTCATTGAAAGTATCAGGTAATTTCCTGGCCATGAAGACAACTATGAAACTAATAACAGCCAAGAAGCCCAAATAGCTTAGGACACTGTAGAACATAGTCACAGAGCCTTGATTGCACTGCAGAATAATTTCTTCAATTACCGAATGCATATCACTGTCTGGGAATGGGGGAGAAGTTGTTAGCTATGTCATGCAGATACCTATTTGAATAAGTGAACAGGAGATGACAATGGAGTTGGACAGTCTCTTTCCCACAAACATTCTCATCTTGGATCCTGGCTTGGTGGCCAGGAAAGCCAGAACCACTGTGACACTTTTTGCCAACACTGAAGAAACAGCCACTGCAAAGACAACTCCAAAAGTCGTTTGTTGCAGGAGACATACCATCTTCTCAGGGTGACCAATGAATAAGAATGCAGAAAGGAAGCAGAGCAGGAGGGAGATGAGGAGACTGTAAGTGAGGTCTCGGTTATTGGCAATGATGATAGGAGTGTTGTGGTTCTTCACAAATATTCCAAGCACCATCACTGCGACCAAAGAAAAGAAAAGGGCAAACAAAACAAAAGTGATCCCCAAAAGTTCTTCATAAGATAAAAATGTCAAAGATTTAGGAATACAGGAATCCTGATTCTTGTTTGGATAGCTTCCTTCTGGACACAAATAACAATTGTTTGTATCTGAAAAATGAAATGATTTGAAGATTTTTGAAGAATATTGAGCAAGGTATATCTTAACAATATTCTTTATATATTTTAAAAATACTTAGAATGCTTTTATTCCCAAATGAACAAATGAATATTAGTATGTAGATTTCAAGAATACTCTAACTCTTTAAACAATCTGTTTAATCAGAGTGATATTGTATTTTAATTTCAAAACTTTGATGTGTAAAAGATCTTTATAATTTTAATTCTTTATATAATTATATAATTCTCCATATTATCTATGCATTTGAACTGGATAGGATAATAATGGTCACCTGATTTGTCTTCAGCAAGCTCTAACACTACTGTATCTCAATCCTTTTCAAAATATTGGACAAAATACTGGTTAAAAAAGAGCCTTCAGGTATACATGGTTGCATTTGAAAATTGCTACCATTGTGTGGGATAAATCCCAACATAACATCTCTTACCCTCCTTCTCTGAAATCTTCCCATCTGGGCATGGAATACGGTCATAGCAACAAAAGGGCTCCCCTTCCTTCATTTTCTTGCTGGAACCAGGAGGGCAACTCTCAGTGCATACTGAAACAGACTGGGACTGAAGCAGAAACAAACAAACATCAATTTAGAGATATCACATCAGTCTGAGGATATAATTAATAAGTTATTAAATTTGTATGATATCCAATTCAATAGCTCTTAACAATAAAACAAGGGAATTAGAATGAATGTAACATGCATTTAGATGATTATGATGATGGTCGGGATCATGATGACCATGTTGATGGTGTTATCCATTCAGTTATGTCTGGCTCTTGGTGATTCTATAATCAGGTCTCTCCACATCTTCTGATCTTGCACTAGTTCTTTGTGTTGTTCTATGCTCTAGTCGGGGTGAGCTGTGATGATGTCCAGCCACTGGTTTCCTTTTACCACTAAAGCATCATTGTTTTCTATAATCTTTTTAAAATGCTGTCTTCTACTTACATAGACACTACCCTACTACCATTGTTGTTGTTCGTCCATCAATTTCGATGAAGACCTTGACATCTTGTGGGTTGTGGGCCATCAACGATGTGTCCGTAGGTGGCTAATAAGACTGATGTTAGCACAGAATGTTCTGCCACATACTGAACACAGAAATGTAGACACTGTTGATTCAGCATTTGCAGCTCTGGCTTTGTGGAGTGCTCGCTTTTCTTGTGCCAAGATTGTCCTTCTGTGTTCATATGTCTGGCAACCTTGGTACACCAAGGTGCGCCATTTCGGTCGATCATGCACCAGAAGTTTCCAAGAGATGGTGTTAATATCCAGGGGCTTAAGAGAAGCTTTTAACGTGTCTTTGTATCGCTTCTTTTGTCCCCCGTGTGATCGCTTTCCTTGAGACAGCTCACCATAGAAGAGCTGTTTAGGGATGTGATGATCTGGCATCCTTACAACATGGCCCGCCCAGCGCATCTGGGCTTTCATCAACAGAGTGTAAACTGATGATAGACCTGCTCTGGAGAGGACATCTGTGTCTGGTATCTTATCCTGCCACCGGATCCTCAGAATTCTACAAAGGCAAGTCATGTGGAAGTAGTTCAGTTGCCTAACATGCCTCCTGTACACTGTCCAGGTCTCACTAGCATACAATAGGGTAGTTAGCACTGCTGCCTGGTAAACTTTAAGCTTGGTAGCAAGAATTATTCCACGGCAGTCCCACACGTTAGTCCGCAATCTGCCAAATGCAGAACTTGCCTTGGCAATTCTACAGTTGACCTCGATGTCAATTGTCACTGCACGGGAGAGGGTACTACCAAGATACGTAAATTGGTCCACTGCTTGCAGCTTTTGTCCCTTTACTGTGATGGTAGGCTCTTGATATTGGGCTTTTGGAGCTGGCTGGTACATCACTTCAGTTTTCTTCATGTTGATGAAGAGGCCAAAGTTGTCACAAGCGGCTGCGAATTTGTCCATGCTGGCTTGCATTTCCTGCTCCGATCCTGCATTAAGGGCACAGTCATCAGCAAAGAGGAGATCTCATAGCACAGTCTCCTTTACCTTGGTGACAGCCTGAAGTCTTCGCAGGTTGAACAATTTCCCATCGGTTCTATACCTCAGATTAACTCCCACTGAGCTGTTCTGAAAGGCATCTGACAGCATGGCTGAGAACATCATGCTAAACAGGGTTGGTGCCAACACGCAGCCTTGCTTAACACCATTAGTAACGGCTCCACCGTTACTCAGATCACAAGCCGCCATGCCATCATGGAACTGTCGTACCATCAGAATAAACCTGTCAGGGCACCCAAACTTCGACATAATGCGCCATAGTCCTTCACAACTAACTGTGTCAAAAGCCTTGGTGAGATCCACGAAGATGGTGTATAGTTCATGATTCTGCTCCTGACATTTCTCCTGGAGCTGTTGAGCTGCAAATATCATGTCCACTGTGTCACACTCTTTGCGGAAACCACACTGTCTCAGGTAATATACCCTGTTCTAGATGGTCAATCAGGCGATTTAGCAACATTCATGCAAAGATCTTGCCTGCAACAGAGAGAAGTGATATTCCTCTATAATTATTGCAGACTTATCGATTTCCTTTCCTCTTGTAGAGGTGCACAATGGACGCATCTTTCAGTTCCTGAGGAATGGAACCTTGTTTCCAGAAAGATCGAAACAACTGGGTAAGTTTTTCAACAAGCACAGCACCGCCAGCCTTATAGACTTCCGCTGCGTCAGATCCTGGCGCCTTACCACTGGAACATTGATTGATGGCCTGTGAGGTTTCAGCCTCTGATGGTAGGGCATCCAGGCTATAGTTCATATCTACCTGGGGTATCCTGTCAATCGCCTCATTATTGATGGTGGATGGGTGGTTCAGCACAGAGTGGAAATGCTCAGCCCAACGCTGTAAAATCAGGGTCTTCTCAGTGATAAGAGTTGCACCACTCGAATCCAGTAAAGGAGAGCTTCCTAAGGGCTGAGGTCCATACAGGGATCTAAGGGCTTCATAGAATCGTTTGGCATCATTTCTATCAGCAAACCTCTGGATTTCATCTGCTTTGGCACTTAGCCAGGAGTCCTGCATCTTGCGGAGCTTGCTCTGTACAATCCTGCAAGTGTTTATAAAAGCATTTTTCTTTGCAGTTGACAATGGGTCGTTCTGATGAGCATGATAGAGATAGTGTTTTTCGGCAAGCAAGGCCTTAATGTCTTCATCATTTTCATCAAACCAGTCCTGCTGCTTCCTATATGAGGGTCCAAGAACCTTAAGTGCAGAAGAATGCAAGATGTCCTGGAGACATTCCCAGTCCTTCTCAGCATTTTCCTGTATTTGCAGCTCCAGGAATTTATTGTCAAGATCTTTTACTAATGAAGCTACTACGTTGGGGTTTTCCAGTGTACTGATGTTGATCTTTTTCATCACAACTCTGTTTCCCTGTGGATGATTCTTTGGCTTGATGTGAATATTTAACTTGGAAATGATGAGTCTATGGTCAGTCCAGCAGTCAGCACTCGGCATAGCCTTAGTTACTCTTACATCTTGCATGTCTTTCCTCCACACAATGACATAATCAATGAGATGCCAGTGTCTGGAGCGTGGATGCATCCAGGACGTCTTTTTACGAGTGGGTAGGTGAAAGATGGTATTAGTAATGACCAGATCATGAGCAGCACATGTCTTCAATAGCAACAGGCCATTGCTATTACACGTGCCAATTCCATTTTTACCAATAACGCCATCCCAGGTAGAGTGATTGGACCCCACTCTCACGTTGAAATCACCAAGTAAAATCAGCCTATCGGTGCACTTCACAGATGAAAGTAGGGCATCAAGATCTTCATAAAACTTGTTCTTTACTTCATCTGGATTTGTCATTGTGGGTGCGTAGGCACTGATCACTGTGGCTTGTTTTCCACTTAGTAATGGGAGATGCAGTGTCATGAGTCGATCATTCACACCCTTAGGAAGACTGGCAAGTTGGTGAACAAGATGGTTCTTAACTGCTAAGCCAACTCCAGACTCACGACGTTGGTCACTGCTACGTCCACACCAAAAGAATGTGTAGCCGCCTCCTGTTTCTGTGAGCTGGCCTTCATTGGCTAGACGTGTTTCACACAGGGCCGCAATGTCAATGTTAAATCTTGCAAGCTCTATGGCTACCAGAGCTGTTCTTCTTTCTGGGCGATTTGCTAATGGATTGTCTTGAAGCGTACGTACATTCCATGTACCAATAATAAGTGGTAATACCGTGTGTTTCGTCTTAAATTTTGTATTTTGACTGCATGGTATGGGATCCCCTCCAACCGCAGTAAGCTGGACAGGGTTTGAAAGAAGCAACAATGTTTAGGGCACATTTTCTAGCCCCTTCTTCATACTACAGAGGTGAGCAGTATGATCCTAAAGAGGGCTGCTCAGTCGCTCAGATAGACGCTGAATCCAGCTGTTGCTTCGTCAGCAAGAAGTGACCTTTAGATCTGAGCCGCCTGTGTGAAGGTCCGCGTCCACAGCTCCCAGTGATTCCACACCTGCTGCTTCTTCGCTCACCTATCGCCACAGGACTTTGAAGATTTATCAGAGTTAGGGAAAGTCAAGATGTCAAGACTTGCGCATGGATTGGATTTAAGTGAGGGAGAGGTGCGCATAGTCAGCCTCACTCTCTCTTCCCAGATTCCATCTTACTCCAATGGCAGGACAAAAGTCAAGACAATTGGAGATGAGCTGGGTGCAGTGGTTGACCAGGGCATCTTTCGTGTCTTGCCGTGCTCTCAGCATACCACGTCTCTTGCAGAAACTGCCTTCATGACCGTCGGTTCTATTTTAATAGATCTCATCTGCTCACTCCACCAGAGTCTGTCTTCACATGCTTGG